GAAATCCTGCTGGAGGTTGGACGTGAGTGTACCCCTGTCTCCACCTGCCCCGCCCCACCCCACCCTTTGCCCTGCCTCTGAGCAGGGAGCAGGTAGCCAGCCAGTGTGGCGTTTACGTCATGCGGGTCCTGAGCACTTGGGGACAAGGAAGGTCAAAGGGAGATGGCGTATGCATTACCTCTTGCCGTGTCACAAATTGCCCCCAAACGTTAAGCATTTATTATTATTCAAGCAATAAGCATTTATTATCGCTCAGTCCTGGAGGGTTAGGATTCTGGGAGTGGCTTAGCTGGGTGATTCTGGCTCAGGGTCTTACAGGATTACAGGTCATAGATTGGCCGGGGCTGCACGATCGATCGAAGTCCTGACTGGGCTGGGGCGTCCACTGTAAACTCACTCACGTGGCTGCTGGCAGGAGGCCTCACCATGTGGACTTCTCTGGTGGGTTTCTCATGACTGCAAGGGAGCTGAGAGAGAGAGAGAGAGAGGATGAATTTGAGTCTTGATAACCAGTTGTAGTCTTGGAATGACATGCCATCGCTTCTGCCAGTTGTGTTGTATTAGTCACAGACCAGGCCTGGTACGTGGAGGGTGGAGCGGGCTGCACAGATCTGTAAATACCAGGAGGCAGGGGTCACGGGGACCATCTTGGAGGCTGCCTACCCCAGGGACAAGTTTGGGCATTGTCATCCTGAGACGCAGGCTCCTGTCTTGTCTCCATCACTTACCATCTGTGTGCTTTGGTCAAATCATTGACCCTCAGTTTCCCCAACTGTAAAATGGGGCTGACCGCACCACTTTCTTCACTGGGTGGCTATGAGGGCTCAGTGACATCACATCAGGCACACAATGCTTAGCACAGGGTCTGGCCCATCACGAGTCCTGAATAAATGAGGAGCGCCTGTCCCCTTCGCACAGAGAGGGAGCTGGGATTCTTCTCTGTGGGCGGTACGTGGCCTTGGCTGGGAGTCCCCTGACGTCTAAGCTCCAGGCCTGGGTCCTGGGCACTGGGAACTGCTCAGAAGCTGTGGGCAGTTTCTTGGCATGCTGAGCTGGGACGGATTGGGTTCGGAGGGTTTGCCGCAGCCTCGGTGGGAGAGACAGGTGCCGGGGGTTCTGGGGAAGTGCAGAGAATCGAGAATGTGCTTGTCTGGGCTGGGTGGCTGGCCCAGGGGCTCCCCAAGGAGGCAGAACCCTGGGCGGAGCAGGCCCCGTTAGGAGGGTCTGGCCCTGGGAGCGACCGTGCCATCTCAGGGTTGGGATCCTCCCAGGCTTGGGGTGCCCTTAGCCTTCATTCATTTATTCCATTATTCATTCCTCCAACACACGGTCACTGGGTGACCAAGCCCTGTGCGCCAGGCCCTGTGTTGGGGACACAGTGGCCGGCAAGACTTGGCATCTGCCTTTGTGTTGCTGGTGGGGTCAGTAGCATTTGGAAATGGCATCCTTGGGGACTGGGGGTACCCAGAGGAGGAGGCTCACCGAATGTTGGGGATTCGGGAAAGCTTCTTGGAGGAAGTGACGTCCAAGCTGAATCCAGAAGCAGCCAGTCAGATGACAAGCTGGGGAAGAGTGTTCCAGGGAAAGGGAACAGTGTTCCAGGGAAAGGGAACAGCATGTGCAGTCCCCCCGCCCCCCCCCACCCCCGTGGCAAGAGAGGCTAGGCAGGGAGTGAGACAGAGAGGGTGGGGAGAGAGGATGCCAGGCGGCTGTTACCTGCTGTGGTCACTCCTGGCCTGGCCCCGGGAGCTGCGCAGAGTCTGGGCTTTGTCCTGCAGGGTGGTGAGAGGTTTTGAGGAGAGGAGTGTGCTCAGACTTTCCCTATAGGGAGTGCAGGTTGTGGCTGGGCTCTCGGGTGGGGCGGGGTGGGCGTGGAAAGCCATGGGCTTAGAGCCTGATAATATTATAATAAAAACATAAGCTAACACTTGTATGAATTCGCCAAGTGCCGGGGCCAGCTGTAAGCAGGGTTCACGTACTAACACGTAATCCTCACAGCACTTTGGGGTGATCCCCTTCATAGATGGGGAAAACGAGGCACAGAAAGGTTAAGTGGCTTGCCCGAGGTCACACAGCTGGCAAGTGGGCAGGGCTGAGTTCTGAACCCACAGCCCTGGGCTTTAGCAGGGTGAGCTCGGATGTTCCTTCCCCGCTCTGAGCCTTAGGCTCCTCAGCTGAGCTGTGTGAGTGGGACATAAGAGAGGCCTAGAACACTGCTCAGTGCCACTGCCCTGGTTAGCAGTCAGCAGGTCCTGGGTGAGCAGAGGCTGCTCAGGGCAGGCTGTGTTCTCACGGGCAGTCATCGTGTTTGCTCCACATCTGATCTCTTTATAGTGAAGCCTTATTTCTGTGGGGCCCAGGCTGATGGGCTACTTGGTCCTGTTTCTTCACCTGTCAGGCATTGGTCTTGAGGCCCTGTCCCCACGTCAGAGGGTGGAGGCGCCTGACACCCTAAAGGAGGGCTTCTGGGGTCACTGGGCCACCATGCCCTCTGGCTTTTAGGCCAGGGGACGGGTGGACAATGGCCCAGCACCTGTGTGTCTGGGATGAGTTGGCCTGGCAGCAGTGGTGGGAAATTGAATTTCCTGCCCATCTGGGTGGCAGCTGTGGCCCAGCCTTCCTGGCCAGGCTGGCAGAGGCTTCCAGAGCCAGGAACGGGTGGGTGCAGTGCTCACTTCCTGCCATTGAGCTGAGAACTGGCTTTCTGGTGGCATTTGGGGGGCACGTGAAGGAAGACAGCCTCCTCCTGTAGGACAGCATTTGTGGACCAGCCTACAAAGGGCTTTTGTGCCAGCTCCGGAGCTGGCATTTGAAAGCGGAGTCCTGGATCATTGTCTAGGTCCTGAAGCTTACTCAGCCACGCTGTTGACCTCTGCAGGTCTCGCTTCCCTCACCTGCGAGACGCGGACGATAATCATAGAGCCTTGTTTGTCCAGGTCCTGAAGNTGGGAGTCAGGGCAGGAAAGACCCTCTGAGACTTTCCCGCTAGTTAGTGGATGGGTTCGTTAGTCCAGGGCTCAGAGAGGCGAGGAGTCTTGCTCAGAGTCACACAGCGTAACATGGAATTTGCATGTCCTTGACTGCCTGCCTCTTCTTACCGAGTCTCCGAGAGGATTTGGGGCCTCCCCTCTGGGCAGAATTCAGGACATTGAGCCCCCTGAGGGCCCAATGAGGCTGGGGGACCCTGACTGGGGTCAGTGTCATTGCGTGTCTCCAACTGTTGTGTGTTCACAGGGAGTCAGGAAACAGCAGCTGGGAAATCCCACGGGCCTCCAAGGCCGAGGAAGGCACGTATGAGTGCACGGCGGTCAGCAGAGCTGGGACCGGACGAGCAGAGGCCCAGATTGTCGTCACAGGTCTGTCCCTCCACATATCCCCTCCCGACCCGCTTCCTGACTTTTTCCTCTAGGATTTCCTCCCAGGGTGTCTCCTTCTCTGGGGGAGCATGCCAGCCAGCAGCTGCTGGAAACGCCATCATCCAGAGTCTGGCTGCCCGTGCTGCCATCTGCCTGCCGGCCTCCCGTTTGGGCTGTCTCACCCAGGATGGCCTGTGGGTCTCGGTTGGAGGAAGGTTGAGAACCTCGGCTCAGGCCATGCTGCCCCGGCCCAGCTTTGGCCCCACCCCTGACTTCTTGGTCTGGCCTTCAGGGCTTGACCAGCCCCCCAGGTCCTTCCAGGGGCCACCGTCCATCTCACAGTCCCAATCCCTTATGCCTCCATGTCCCTGCCAGAATGGCACCATCTAGCTCAGGTAGGTTGGAAATGCTACGAACTGCCTTGAAATGAAATTGAATTTTCTTTTTTTAACTCTGAAACTCAGCTGTGTTGAAGAGAAGACGAGCCCCACCAGCATGGAAAGATTAGGTCCTGTGCGCTCTCTAATCCTGCACAGAAGCACAGTGCTTCCCATAGGCAGACTCGGAAATAGAAACGAGCCAAGGAGAAAGAAAGAACCTGTACTCCCTCCACCCTAGAGACGACCTCAAGAGCTTTTTGATTTATTTACTTCCTCTCAGACCTTTATCTATGTGTGTGCGTTTCAACAAAAATGGGAGAATGCTCTACAGACTTATAGCAACCTGATTTTTTATCATCTCACAATATAGCGTGTCAGCCAATAGACTTATGGCATGAATTAACAGAAGCTTACTTTTTATAGAGCACAGAGAAGTATTGTAGAACAGTGTACGGAAACGCATCCGCCCGTTACTTAGACATAACAGTTGCTAATCGTTTGTCGTCTCTTCTTTTTCACTTTTTGGCTAAACTATTTTAAACTCAAGTTTTGGGCTAAACTCTTTTAAACTCAAAATCAGGGCTTTAATTCTGTCATTGTCTAATGTACCACAATCAGCTTCTACTATCGGTCTCCCCCCAACACACAGGAACCCCAGTATGCATGCTGGTGTATTGGGGTAAATTGATGTAAATGTATTTAAAGAGAGAACTATATTTCAGGATTTATCTCTTTTTTAAAAAGTAGATTTTCCTGTATAATAAAAGACCTATTATCACACCTAATAAGATGAAGTAATGCCTCAGTGCTATTTAATTTTGTCCACAGCCACATTTCCCCATTTGCCCTGGAATGTCACTTCCAGTTGGTTTCTATAGCGTTTTTAGTGGCCGTGGAGGTCAGATGCTCTCCTGAGTGCACAGACCCCTGGACGTCATGGTCATTGGCACCTGTAGCCTGTGTGGATCCTGCTTTACCCCTGCAGGTTTTCAGGCGCAGGTCCCTGGTTAGATGGTCTCTGATCTCGTCACTTCTTGTGGCTTTTTCTTAATCAAGATAACGGTTTTCGTTTATCTTCCCTCCTCTGGGGCAGAGGTCTTAGTTCTCTGTTTGGATGTAATAACAGACCTGCTGTTTATGCAGAGAATAGCTCTGTTCTCTTTCCCCTTTCCCTCTTGAGGGTTATTTTAAAACCTGAGCTTTATTCCCCAGGGTGGAAATACCGGCTCAAAGGGTGTGAAGAGTGGTGGAGCTCTTGTTAAATCGTGCAGTTGGCTGTTGTGTGCAGAGTACACAGACCACACGCAGCCCTCGGCGGCTGTACGTGATGGCCGTGGGAAATTGGCCCCAGGTGGCACCATTCTGGGATGGTGAGCAGGTGCTGGTTAGCTGCTCTGCTGGCCAACGTGTCCTGAGGGACACAGTGCTGGGCTGCGGCATCTGGACACCACCGGGGTCTATAGGATGGGGCCCTCCCCTGTGACAACCCCTCAGAGGCTCCTGTGCTCATATCCCTGCAGACCCGCCGCCGCAGCTGATCCCTGCCCCCAACGTGACCGTGTCGCCGGGGGAGACCGCCATCCTGTCCTGCCAGGTCCTGGGAGAGGCCCCCTACAACCTGACGTGGGTGCGGGACTGGCGAGTCCTATCGGCCTCGACAGGCAGAGTCACGCAGCTGGCCGACCTGTCCCTGGAGGTCAGGGACATCATCCCCAGTGATGGCGGGCGGTACCAGTGCATGGTCAGCAATGCCAACGGGGTCACACGGGCGTCCATCTGGCTCCTGGTGCAAGGTGAGGCTCTTCCAGCCACTGCTGTCCTCCTGATTCCATGTACTACTTAGCATTTACCCCGAAAGCCCGTCGACCCATCCTTCTGCCCAGGCATCACCTTCAGCAGGCAGCCTCAGCCCTTCCAGTGTTTTCTGAACCCTCAGAGATAGAGGAGCCTGTAGCCTCCTAGCCTAAGTCCAGTGGTTCTCACCGTTGGGCAGTTCATCCTCACATCTAACCTAAATTTCTACTGCTGTAGGCCAAGCCCATTTCATTGTGTCCTGTCCTTTTCCCGGGCCACTGAGCTCCTCCGTTGTCCACCCTCTGCCATTAAGTAGGACAGGGATGGAATACTGGAAACTTCTGAAAGCCCAGAGTTCGGATGGGCTTGGCAGGGGTTGGGCAGCACTGACCAGATGGGCCTGGAGGAGACAGTTGGTAGAGCACCCACCTGGGAGTGTGAGGACCTAGATCTATAGCCTCAGGTCCACCAGGAGTTAGACAGATGTACCTCCCTGGGCTGCCATTTCTCCAAGTGTAAAAGTAAGTGTATTGGGGCAAGTTTCTCCCTTGACTGGCTGCCTGGGGTGTGTTGAGAAGGATTCTGAGGCCATATCTAGGCCACTGCTATGGAAAGGGTGTTTTTACCATTTTTAGATGAGGCGGCCCGTGAGGTCTGTTTGAACCTGACACGTCTGTTGTACTCTGAGCTTTCTGAGGGTCAGAACAGGGCCTAGGTTTGGGGCCAATACTTGTGCAGGCCTTGAGGCTCCCTCAGGTCCCTGGAGGTGAGACCCGTCCCAGCCCTGGCATCTGCCCGACGTCTCCTTAAGCCTCTCCGAGGTGCTCAGTCCAGAGCGGCCCCCCAGGGAACGTGAGGCTCCCGCTGGGGACTTCGGGAAATCAGCTC